ATTAGAGATCTGTCTGTGTCTGAATTTGCATGACAAGCAGCATGTTGTTCCTCCCACGTCTCGACATGCGCAATTTCCCACAAAGTTATTGAATCAGGAAGCACAAGGGAGCCAGAATGAAGGGGAAAAAAAAGAATTTGCAAGTTGTGTTGTGTGTTTACATAGAGGGGCCTTTGACATCAATGCTGAGCAACAATTGTCAGACAACAAATGGGGAAGTGACAAGAGGCAGTTATGTTTCATTCAGACTAAAGTCTAAAGTGAGGTAAACAAATGTTCAGTGTGAGCGAATTTCTCTTGAACACATCATTCGTGCCACATAACAGTTTGTCACTGTCATAATAAAATGCATGTTTGAAACAGTAAGTTTGTAGGAAAAGGAAAGGTGCTCCTAATTTCCATGTATATTAATGTAATTAGATTTTATTATGTGTCATTTTGGGCCATTTCCTTCGGTCCATGTATCATTTTCACATGACTCTTTAGCTATTTTTAAAGCTTGTTTGTCACCGTGATGTGTACATTTTACTGACCAACAAACAATGTACCGATTCACATACTGATGTTGATCAATCTTCTCCAAGCAATAGCTATTCTTATAGAAGCGTAAGGCTGCTGTCGGAACAAAACCTTGTACCTCCATTTGTGTCATATTTCAGTTTTTGACAATTTTAAATGCCTGTTGCCCTTTACATTGTGTGTAAATTTCATGAAGAAATAACTGAAAGAAACAGCTCAAAATGACTTGGAAAAAATTCTGGTTCCATTGACTTACATTAGAAGTAAAGTAGGTTTTTTCCTTTTTCCAGTTACTGTTTTGGAGATACAAGGTTTTGTTCCAAAAACAGTGATAAGAAGCTGAAATCTTCAAAAACAATAACTTCATAGAAGGCACAATGTTTTGATATCACAACACCCAACTGTAAAACCTGACCAGATAAGATGGTCAAATGTGTAACAGATACCTTACTATGCTTTACTATATCACTAAATATCATAGTATGAGGCTGTTTTTCATGTAATAGTCTCCTTGCTTGCAATCTCAGGCATCCAGCCTGTATGTACCAGCATCAGCTGCTCAGTGCAAAAGAGAGACAAAGAGAATTAGGGAGTTGTGTAGAGTGTGATTATTAGAAAGCAAGAATCTTCAGAGAAACACTGTGGGACTTTTAATGACCGTGGCTCGGACACTCACAGCGGTTAGTCTCACTTTATGTAGAACGGCACCTTTTTTTACAAGAAGCTGTCCTGGCACATGACCACACAGATCACAGCATGAGCCTTCAGTTATGCCTGGCCCACATTACACGATTTTTTGCATCTCAAATGATGCTGAAAGCATGAAAAAACCTCACAACTACTGACAGATTCGACAGATTTTTTTGTCATTAGTCATCCTTCAGTCACCACAGCCCCCTCACTGCACGATTCTCCCAGAATGAAACAGCACACAGTTTTAAACTATGCTCACAAATTGCCGGCCTGATCAACAGTCCCATCTCATAGAACCTGAGAATTTCTCGTGAACAAGAAGAATACAGAAAAAAACAAACATAGCAGATCACAGCATGGCACAGATTTCTGTGTCAGTTATATGTGAATGCAACTGTTTCTTTACAATGCTTACATATACTTCAATTCTGCTGGTTCAACTCTGCTTTGATTGGTTAACAGTCAGCATTCCTCCAAATATGACTATTAAACATGTATCAATCCCTTAAAATCCCAGGCTTATTACATACTAAGGCCTATTATTCAGTAACTACAGGGACTTCAATGCAACTGGCTGAGATATTCTTAGGTTGTAGAAGTGTGTAATAAATCGTTAGGCTCACCAGCAGGCCCTGGCCATGTAAGGGGTTAATATTTACCATTTAAAATCGGGACTGTGAGTAGATTAGATGTCTAATGATTAGATTATACATACCCCACACCACAGGATAATCTGTGAAGATAATTCAGACCTTCCTAAAATCTGGACACCTTCTGCAGTTGAGAGGGGCGAATTGGCCTCAAAATTGGCCTTATTCTCCTGTAGCACTGGCCAGGCATTAGCCTTGCTGTTAGCAGCAATTTGCACATTCAGAGGAACTAACATTCAAGTAAAGGTCACATACCCAAACTTGACCAATTCAGGGAACTGCCTGTGGGGAATCCTAAGATGGTTTAACCACCAGTCCACCACTGGTCATTGTTTTGTGAAGAAACTCCTTCATCACCCAAAATGTGGAAGAATGTTCCTGATCATGAAACCACTGAGCCAACATAACTGCTGGAGGGATCACATTCCCATTTCAAACATGACGATGACATCACAAAATCTCAAAAACTAGGTGCTAATAAACATAGCATTTTAGTGTCATTGTTATGGGTCTTTTAAACATCATCATCATCATCCTCATCATCATCATCATCATCATCGTTAGCCGCTTAGTCCAGATAGGGTCGCGGTAGCAGTTGGGAGAGCAGAGAATCCCAGACAACCCTGTCCCCCGCAACTTCCTCCAGCTCATTCCCGGGGACCCCAAGCCGCTCTCAGGCCAACTTGGAGATATAATCCCTCCAGTGGGTCCTAGGACGACCCCAGGGTCTTGTTCCGGTAGGCCGTGCCTGGTACACCCCCACCAGGAGGCGTCCAGGGGGCATCTGGATCAGATGCCCGAACAACCTCAGCTGGCTCCTCTCAATGCGGAGGAGTAGCGGCTCTACTCCGAGCTCCTCCCGGGTGGCCGAGCTCCACAGCCTATTAAATAGAGTGTAGGCTGCCATCTTGTGAAGAAAGCTCATTTCCACCGCTTGTATTTGCAATCTCATTCTTTTGGTCTTTACCCACAGCTCATGACCATAGGTGAGGGTCGGGATGTAGACCGATCGGTAAACAAAGAGCTTTGCCTTATGGTTCAGCTCCCTCTTCACCACTACAGTCCGGTACAGCAACCGCATTACTGCTGCTGCCTGTCCCAGCCTGCGGCCGATCTCACGATCCCTCTTCCCATCACTCGTGAACTAGACCCCTGAGATACTTAAACTCCTCCAGCTGGGGCAGGTCCTCTCCCCTTTTAAACATTACGTCTTTTAAACATTTTGTGCTCAAAGTAACACAAAATATGATTAGTTATTACATTATTGTTGTTTTTCAACACATCTGTATTGAGAATTCTCAATGTTGCGGAACAAAATGGTAACTTTACAGGAGAAAGAAATAAACACTCCTAATATGAATATATATTTACTTACATTCATTCTTTTTTAGATTTTTTCTAAGTAATAATTTCTAACTAGATAATTTTTTTGTGTGACGGCGACAATGGCATTAGGCTGGAAACAATGTTCAGTAATGCTTTAGAGAACAGCAGTGTTCATAGGGTGACAACACCTGCATAAGTCTTTGTGACAATAGCCAAACCTATATAGACATTTATAAAGGCTTATTCCAACAGCTGTCAGCTGTCGTAACACTTGTCAGTTGAAATGACATCAAAACTGACAAAAGCAGCTTTTATGACAACTGACACTTGTAGGAATAAGCCTTTATTAATGTTTATCCTCATTACCTCAAGAGACCCACCAGTGGTTATAACATATGAATAACGCAGCCAGTTTGCATCGTTTTTCATCATTAAATAATAATCTTAACATGTGATGAAAGTCTCGCCGGTTAAGTAGGTTTACGTCAGTGGTCATTAAAGGCTTATGTAGGTGTCACACAGGTTTACAAGTGATACCCTTCATTAAAGTGTTGCCTTATATTTTCTATTAAAACATATTTTCATATATGTTTTTTTAAATATTTGTTTTATACATGATTAGATATGTTTGATTTTCATTCATAATCAGATAATACTGATTTATCCTTTTAAAGATAGAGGTCTGACTTGACTTGCTTTCCTTGCAGTGCCTCAGTATTTCTGTTCCGGTCTCTCACATGTTGAATCCATAACCAAAATTAAATGTGATTTTCATCTAAAATGTTTGCTTATTTCCTCTCTCGCCAACTGAGTGCCGCTATGTATTATCGATAAAGTTGGCAGTTTTGATTTGTTTGGCTGTCTTTCCAAACTTTGATCCCCCCCAAAAAAACAAGCAGAACACTACATCCTCTTAAAAAGCAGAAGATCATGGGCTTTGAGACGCTAGCTCACACTAGATAATGGCTACTGAAGGCTCCACAGGGCTGCGCTCCTCATAAAAGCTGCTGCTGAAGAGGGTGAGCTTTTACAAGACAAAGGCAAAGTGGCCACTTCAATAAATCTTACAGCGGACCATATCGCACTTTTATCTGTTTTAGTTAGCCCCGTAAACGCTTCACTCTGCTGTAATGGTCTCACTTATGAGACCGCAAAGCTGCATCGTATACAGCAAAAGGAACGGATCATTAGAGAAGTGAACTAGTCCTCAATCCCTAAATCCTGCGCCCCTTATACATGCGTAATGAGTTGCTCGACACCTGTCTTGTAATTGCTATATAGACTTTAATGAGCGAGACATGCAAGATGTCTAACAGAAAACAGCCCAGTTATCCAGAAATTCCTCAAATTAAAAGGACGTTAAAGGCATCAGGAACAATAAAAATGCTTTGCTTCATTTTACTTCAAACTGAACAGGTAGCTGAAAATGAACCGTTAGAAGTCACAGGGTTTTTGTTTTTTTTGTTTTTTTGAGCTATAATATGTAATTACATTTAAATAATATGGCAAAACAAAAGAACTCTCGACTTCTAAGAGCTAAAGCTACATTCATGTTCAAGATGCTCAAAAATAACCCCCAAAAATATTTTTATATCAGCTAAAATTTGATGCGTTATTACAGCTTAAAAATACCACAGTGCACACTTGTACTTGTTGATACAGAATATACATGTAATTCAGTATTTAATGTACTGCAATTTGAGTAGTTTGGCAAAACAAGAGCAACTCCCAACTTCTAAAGTCACATTCATGTTCACAATGCTCAAAAACGTTAAATTACATTTAAAAACACAGCTAAAACAGCTCTCTTACCCATGGTGCAGTTAGTGATGAAGAGGGGGTCGTAGGTGGCGGTCTCCTGCTCTCCAGGCTGGTCATAACTTGACGAGATCCTGAAAGGTCTGGCCCGTGAGCCCAGGCTGAGGTGCACCACCGCCCAGCTGCCAAGGAAAGAGAGAAGCAGCAAGATCAGCATCACAACCAGGCAGCAGGGGCGGCAGAGAGCCTGTCCCGGGCTGGAGGGGGTCAGGACAGGCCCAGGGAGACCCTCTTCTGCGTGGGTCAGCTCTGCCGTCTCCGGAGAGCTGGCAGAGGGTGAAGCCTGACCATCTGAGACCAAGCCTGCTCCCTCGGCCATTTTAGAGTCACTCTGTCCTGCAGTGTCACGCATGCCTTATTGCAGGGGGGCTGTTGAGGCCAAAGGTGGACGCTCCCTCAGTGGCGGTGGAGCCGAGTGGTGCCTTTAGGGTCTCAGTATATATGCTCTGTGCTCAGGGATCTCTCCCTGTGTGCCAGTGAGAGGATCTAGACCTGCTCAGTGATTTGCTTTCTGACTGCTTAGCCAAACATCGCCTCTCATAATGTAGCCAATGTTCAAGCTAATTTTATTAAGCAAATTGAATAGATTTTGCTTTGCCTCCAGGCTACCAACCAATGATTTTACTTCCCTCCTTCATCACTGCCTGCCTCTCCCTCCCTCCCTCCCTCCCTCCCTCCCTCCCTTTTCCACTCCCTGCCCACCCCTTTTCCACCCTCTTTGTTCACCTGGCTGTTGTTTGCGCAGAGTTGTTAGTGTGCCTCTAATCTCAGCACAGGATTTGCACCGACGTCCGATTCACTTAACATGAATTAGAAGTGAGAAGCATGACAAAACGGCATCTTCAGGCTGCTGTTCTACTAAATAAATGCGTTTGCACTCAGCATGCACCGCAAAACAAGGAGAGAGAGATAGCTTTGGTGCACAGTGGGTGCACTCGAACTGAAATTGAGCGGAATATAAATCAGCAATAAGTGGACATTTTACTGAATGCTGAACACAGTTTTGCACACATCACTTAAGCCCCAATCAGGACTTGCTGAAACAGCATCAGTGAGAGCATGAACGGCACGAACCGCGTGACTTTGTGCGCTCATTAGTTGTTGATGCTGTTGTTGTAAAGCCGCTGTTATTGCAGTACCAAAAAAATGGTTAAAAAATGTCCTGTGGCGATTCATGATTGTTCTGGGCAGTTCTGGAGAGTGTTCAGTCACTACAAGGGTTCCACTGTTTCAAATTTAGCTGTAATTTTTTGCATTATAACCACAATTAATGACTCTTTTTAAAGAAGGGGGGTTGTGGGGCAATAAGAGTGTAATCTAACTTTTTTTGTGCTGTGACAGTGACTAACAGTCCTGCTCGCGGCTATATCCAAGCTCATATGTAAGGAAGCAAGGGAAGATTCCATTTTTCATGTCATCAAATTAACCTCTGCTTTTCAACACAAATGTTATTTTGCTGATTTATTGGATTCAGAGTAATACATATTAATTGCTATATTATTGGATACATTATCATTAGCCTGGCATTGCATGGTTCTCAACTGTCAAGCATTAATTACTTCTGTGAGACTGAACATGCACACGCCCCCACACAGGACAGATGTTCACACCCATACTTGCACACACAATACACATACAATAAATAAATAAAGGATAAAGGAAGAACATTAACATTCTTCTCACTTTCAACAGTAAAAATAACTGCACATACAATCTCACTCTAAGATCATAGATCATTTTAGTTTCTTTAGTCCCTGCAGAATAAAGCATGAAGCCATGAGATGCTGTGATGTATTATAGTGATTTTATCACAGGTAAGAGCTGGTGTTCAAGTGTTGTCTGAAACTTCCTTACCAGTAGTAAAATCACTGTAATGTACAGCTTCGAATCGCTGATTGATTTTATTAAGTGGTGACAACATACTATACAACAAAATACAGAAATGCTCAACACAATTTATTATTAATAATAATCACCATAATAATAATAATAATCATGAATAATTCTTCCACCATAAAATGTAAAGTATATTATTGTAGCCAAGAAATATGGACTACTGGTTGAGGAAAAGCACTTTTTCCATCACCCACTGTTGTATATTTCAATAATTTCATTTGCATTTTTTGTCATATTTAACACAGTCTGTTTCTGGTGTGAAATTCACATTTAAATATATCTTAAAATAACTTTTCCATTCACATGTTTTTTTTTTTTTTTTTTTAAATCAATCAATAAATGCTTTAAACTATTGCATTTCCTGCATTACAATGCAAAAAAAAAAATGAAAGAGCTGAAAGCAGCTTATCAGTGCTACCTTACATCAGGGGTCTCTGTTCTTTTTTGTTAAAAGCTGAAACAGCAGTATTTTTGTTGAAAATAAGTCGAGGTCTCTATCCAGCTCTGCACTTACATTACAGATCTTATAATCATTGATGCTTTGACTAAACATGAGGAATTCTACATAAAAAAGTTAACTCCAACTTAACTTGGACCTTGGACCTAAATTTATTTTTTTCCTAAATACAGATGATAGCATTTCTGTGGAGTGCGGGAAAAGCGACCTAACACACAGGAATCCAAACAAGCATTTCAACAAGGCAGAGACTACGAAGAGCCAGTAAAACATCAAAAACTTGGCAAAAAAAACAACCAAAACAAAACTACCTCTTTCATAATGTGATCAAGACTGTCAACAATGAAAGGGTCCAGCTACTTTTACCTTAGATGATATTGTGGGCTTTTAATATTTAGTTAGCTAGCTAGCTTGTAATGAATGGCTCACATTAGCATTCAGTCACACTTGCCGACATGCTAATTTATTATAGACATTTTAAACAGAGCTCACTGACAGAACATTTCAACAACAGACATATAAACTGCCAAAAATATCAACAAGTAGACAAGATATGCAAACACATGCTGATAACATAATTTCCTAAACACCACTTCTCTTACTGACTGTGGAGTTTCAAGGCTGTTTTCACATTTCAAACATGCCACGTGCATTACCATGTGTTAACAGGGAGACTGGGTTGTGGACCCTACTGCAGCTCCAGCCCATTATCCTACCTGCTTGTAAGTAGCTTTTTGGCATTAAATTACTTTAGCAATAATAATCTTAGTTTCAGCTAGTGCCTGTATGTGAGTTCCTGTGTTATGTTAGCATCAAACTAATGGAGCCATGCATTTGTTTCCTTACACTGGGTTAAATACTACTTATGGCGGACATTTAAAGCTTGTCAGGCATTCAAGTAACATATTATTTACTTTGTATGCAATTATACAGTGAATTCTTCAGTAAATACTCCAATTCAAAGCCTTAAGCCTTGGGTGCACTACACAACTTTTAAAGTCTTAACAGATTAAAAAAAGACTGGGCATCTCACACTATCTGACTGTGTTTTGGGGAGACTAATATATTGAGGATCACACATTACTCAGCTGTTGCTGAACCCAGTGGAACTCACTGAACTTGCATGAACTCCTGTCACTAGGAGACACAAATAAACACAGTAATGATGCAGCAAATGAGGGTCATGGATTTAAAAATGTGATCAGTGTGGTATTTTTCAGAGTTTTAAATGTACATAAACTCGACTGTGTTCATGCCTTAAACGCAACTCTTTAAAAAGCTTCACTCCACATGTGTGCCTTTTCGACATTTTCCTTTGTTTATTTGTTGTATTTTCTTCTTTAGCACTCTCAGTTTTCATTGGCTGTTGCAGGAATCCGTTCAGACTGACCAGTTTACAGTACTAGATTACACTCAGAGTCGGGTCTAAAACATCAAACGTGTTTGATAAACTCCGACTGGTCCTATTAGTACATCGTATGATACTTAAATGCCTTTTGAGCAGCCAAATTGTGCCCAAATTAGCAACCTCTCTAAATTTTAGTGTTCAATGACCCAGTAAGCATTCAAACCTACTTTAAAAGAAATCAAAGCCGCCCTCCCAACTACTGCAATCTACAAGAAGCAAGCTAAAATGATAGTGAAATGCTAATAACCCTCCATGAACAAAACTAATATCAAATGAATGACAATGTCCATGACCAGGTTCAAACCCAATTCATTATATTATTATGTTATTATTTCCCATTCCCTTAGTCCCATGCATTTTTTTAATCCACTGGGGAACTAGAGAAAATAAACATCCTTGCCCTCACCTGGCCTCATGTTTGTGTGTGTGGTGTAAGAAAGGAAATGGATAATGTGCACAGGAAATACAATAAAGCTGGCCCTGAGCAAAGAGTCTCAAAATAGAAGGAGATAGAGCTCCAATTCTGAAAGGCCACGAATCATTTTCAGCAAAGAAATACAAACCCTACCAAAAAAAGCTCTAGAAAGTTTCAAACAGGGTCTTTTAAGCAGGACACCGGCACTTCAAATGACCTTCTTGACCATTACATTTCATTTAAACTGAATAAACATATTGTATTGGGAAAGTTTAATGTGACCTTCTGCAGTAGGTCACAATGAACACTTATGAGCCCTTACATATTAATATGGCACTGCACAAGTTCATCACCTGTAAAAGTAACATGCAGACTAATTACTGCATTCATTTTCTGAGCTAATGAATTCCTAGACTAATGTTATGAAAAACACAGAAAGATAAAGAAGCAAAAACCTTCACAATCTTCTTTCCCTTTTACCGTGATAAGCATCTGCAGTTCTCCGTAACACCTCAATTAAACATTTTGATCTAATTAATAGTGTGTCCTATGGGACTTCCTCCGACTCAAAATAAAAATCTCTCACGCAGGCGTTATTAACTTGACTAATAAGCAGTGCCGCCACTACCATTTTTCATTATGATTCTCATTATAACTCATATCATTATTCCAACTGACTCAGTCAAGGCTGGCCTTGCAGCATGTGTGCTTTCACATGGACGTTCGCCCATTACAAAATAATACCCTTCAATTCCTGAGCACGGATCAGTGCTGTTTGAGGCCAATTCACTGCGCGTGTTTCATCGACTGTCTCAAATTTGGTTAATCTCTTCTGGGCGCTACGGCTGGGCCATGCTTTGTTTGGATTCAAGCTCAATTGTTAAGGTCACTGCAGTCACTCTGAAATACGCCTCTGTATACTGTGGCGTTAATTTACATTTGCAAC